TCAAATGCAGAAATTAAATCCTTATTTATAGTAACAATTAATGGCATTTCATGCTTCCATCCTCCTTAACTCTTTATGAAGGGCAATTTATAATGTGCTGTTGACTATAAAGGAAGCCCCACTGGCATTTAGGTAATTTCACCTCCACAAATTTAGAAATAAATTGAATGCAAAACCCATGTTACCTTCATTGCACGTCCAAGGAAAATGTAGCTAAATATTAAGTCAATAAATATAGTTTTAGTATTTAGTACCAAAATCAACACAATTGTCCAACAATAATAATAATTAATTAACTAATTACTAATTAATTAAATAGTAATAATAATAAGAATAATAATTGCAAACTGATCTTAGTATATAAAAATGGCAATCTTAGATTTCTCAATGGAAAGATTGTAGTTAATATGAGAAGTGCTATTATGGCAATCTTAAATTTCCCAATAGAACAATTTCTTTTGTGAAAAAAAAAAAATGTTGATGAGTGTTTGGTAAATAATAAAGCACAGGATAAAATACTATATATGTCAAATTGTCAGTAAAAAAATAATTATAACCAAAGATTGCATTTGATTTAATATATTCGAGCAATGGCCAAAATCAACGAAACAGATTAGCCTTCATTTTATGTAGTAATATCGGTTATGCAAGAGTTATATTTGTTCGGATTGTGATCATAAAAGCTTTTATCATGTGAATTTCGTGATAAGGTAATTCTGAGTTTTTGCATTATTATCTTAAGTCGGTCTGATCATATATTTATTTTATAAATATAATTTAAAAATATAACATTTAATATATATAAGTATTATTTTTATTTACATAGTATGATACGTCCACCTAATAATTAGTCTGACACATATGATTGTAGAGTGTGTGTGATCTTGAATTTGATCATTCAATGCAAAAAATACTTTAAGAAAATGTTTAAAATATTTTAAATATATTCAAATTTATAGTATAAAATCATAATTGATTCAGAGCAACTATATGATTTAACGAAATTATTATTCAAAACCCTAAGATAGAAAACGAATAATTAATCTATATATAACTCCACAATCATTGAAAGACTGAAATGGTCGCTGTATAAATAGTACCTCAATGATTAGTAGTATTAATATCCCTTCATATTAATTCAGAACGTGCTGAGTCTAATCTTATGTGGAGCTCAAGTGACAAACACTTACTTCGGGATCCTATGTGACAAAATTACATGGTTCGTTATTAGACTTTTGGTAGATTTTAGTTTACTTCAATTCAAATATAATTAGGTCTGGATTATCCATAAATATGTTGATTATTTATGGTCATGTTACATGTATTAATTGCATTTTAACATCATTTCTTATTATAACTATTGAATTGTAAATATATTTTAAAAGTTAACGTATTTTTTATCAGTTTTACATATATAATATATCAAATTAATCATCCCTTGATGAGCTTCGATTTAACATCCATATTGTTGTTCGCAAAATATTTTCACTACCCGCAAGTGTACGGTATAGCTATAGTGAGTGGCGAGCAAGGTCGTATTCCACAGATTGTGTCAAAATTAACTTAGTATCAAAATGTAAACGATTAAATATTATTTAGTCTAATGCAAATTTGAATGGTGATTTTATTCTAAACTAATGAATGATTGCAAAATAAATTCTAACACTAATGAAGGCTTGTTCTAAAATAAATCAAGAATGAGAAAATAGATTCTAGGTTATGCTTTCCTCGGGATTATTCTAACAAAGATTTCCTATTCATTCAAACCTTATTTAATTATACCATTCGTAGAGATAATTACTAAAGTAATTTACACTTTTCTCTCGAACAAGTTAAATCGTAGATATTAATTGTTATCTATCTCCTCTCGGTCTCAAGATGAACAATCAACTCCCATAAACTCCTAAGATTCTAGTTCCCTCGCAAGATTCTATCAACCTCTCGGTCTGTTTAGTCTCTCACGTTACAAATTTCCCAATTCTAGCAATCAACTATCTCCTTTCGGTCTCAAGTCAATCACAAATATGCATAAATACGGGCCCTATATTCACACAATCAATAAAAGCACAAAAAATTGATAAACGAATGATAAACCGGAATGAATAAACAAAATCACTTCATAAAATAATCCGAGTAGTCGCAAATCCTAGAATCCCTAAAGGTTTAGCTACTAAACATATTCTCAAAACTCAGAATAAATAAATCCATGAGTTCAATGAAGAAGAAAAAGAGAAAAGAAAGAAGAACTATTGTCGCCGTTAGTTCCCGAGTCTTCAATCTGGACTTCCTCGAATCCCTCGTGTGTTTTGTGCTTTCTCTAGGCCTCCAATGGTGTCAAAAGTCCCAAAAACGAGTTCCTAAGGTCTGTTTTATACTGTAGGGCTATTCTGGGTCGAAAAAGGGAAGAAATCGCACAAGAATCCTATTCCCCGCTGAACTAGTCTGCGCGTCACACGAGTCGTGTCACATGCCACACGAGTCGTGTGACTTTTCTCAACGTTTCGGCAAACTTCCAGACTCACACGACTGGTCACACGACCGGGTCACACGAGTCGTGTGAGTCCACACGACCCGTGTCTCAACCCACACGGCCCGTGTGAAAAAGCCGTAGCTGCGTTTCTTATTTTCTCAACCCACACGACCCGTGTCACTACCCACACGAGTCGCGTGACCTCTTCTGCACCCGTTTTCGCTGTTTTTCGTCCCGATTCCATTTTCAACGCTTTTTCGGGCATATTTCCTGCAAAACCAACGACAAAAACACATCTATCATAGATTTATAAATCAAACAAAATGGTGCACAATCACACGATAACCAAGGCCTAATATCACAATATACCACTCATAATGCATGAAAATATGATGAATGTCAATTGTATGTATAAAAAAAATATATTATATTTATCTTTATAACAATAATAAAATTATTTTTTTAATATTAATTAAAAAAATAAAATTATTTATCAATTGATATATTTATATTTCAAGTAGTTATATAATATAACACATGTGAGTCGCATAAGTAACAAGTGTCATTCTAAAATACATAATAATATATATTTTTTGTAAAAAAATAAATAAAATTTAAAATAATTTTTCTCATTAATTTTAAAATTTAAAAATAATATTATAACAAATACTCATATAATACACGGATGTTGTACTAGTCTTATTTACTACAACAAAAATTCTATGAAGTCATCGGATGGTTTTCTTATGGAGCCATCCACCAATTAATGTGTTGACACATGTTCAAACTGTATTTATTATAGGGCCACGTGTCAATACATTATTGGTGAATAAATGTCGATAGCTTCATAAGTCGAGTCATCCGATGAGTCTATAACATAACTGTTTACTACAAAATAGTTACTTTATTAATTAATGTTATTAACTAGCTAATCAAGCAACCAAAAAAAGAAGAAAATTTTGTTATAGTAGGGATTGAATTGAATTTATTGCCAACATTTAGTTTCTATTAACTATGGATAGAAAATATAATAATATTAAAGATGCAATTAAGCTCGTTTCAATTATTTAAGCATACCCATTATACTTTACAATTAATGCCATATCTTATTGCATTAACCTTATTTACAATATTGCCAATGTTATTATATGCCTGTATTGATGTAATTATATTGAAAGGATAAATAATATTTTTATCTTTTATTCATTTTCTCCTTTTTGATAATACAAGTCACTGTTTAGTAATATCGTGAACTGAATGTTGTACGAAAACCATTAAAATACAATTTTGCCAAAAGTATTGAATTATACCAATTTCATATCGGTGAAACACAACCGAAAATATCAGATTTTTGTAGTATTTTCATATTTTTATTATTTATTAGCATAAATATAAAGTTATACACTTAATTTTAATATGTTTATATTCTTATTTTATCTTAGTTAATCTTTTTACTAATTTAAGTTTTTTCCATATATTATTACATGAAATAGTTATAATTTAATTAGTATATTAAAATTAATAAAATAGACGGTAATATCGAGTGAAATTCAAAGCCAAACCATGAGTTATCGAGTATAATAATCGGTACTGTATTTTAATTCTGGTATAATTTTATAAAATATGTGGAAAATTGTAATTTGGATTTTTGCCTTCGTAATTGAAACTCGATTCATATAACTGGAAAAGAGGTCAACCAAACAGGGCGTAATGGTGTCAACCAAAGGCTGGTGGTAATTAATACAGGGCAACAAGGGCGATTAATGAGTGAATAAAAATGAGAAAACACACACATAAAAATGGAGTATTTTATTTTTCAAAAAACAAACTTAATAAAGACAGTCATTACAAGCATTAATTACAGCTATGAAAGGAAAGCCGAAGGTCTTTGTAATTTTTCGTGGCATTAATTCACAGCTGTCCTTTAGTTTTCTCATCTTGCATTTAATGCCTCGGTCCCTACCTTATTTTTTTTCTTATGTAATACTAATTTGTCAACATATAAAAAAGTTAATAAATAAAATAAATGAATAAGTCAAATAGAACTCGAAACACAACGATGAGCTCTATGATATTCAACTTATTTGGTAAAAAATCGAGCTCGAGCTCGTTTCAAACTCATTTAGTTAATGAGTTGAACTTATTAAGACTTTTTAGATTTGAAAAATAAGGATTTCAGCATAATTTTCAAATTTTTGACATAATTCGACTTGTTTATAAATTTATTAAGTCGAGTTCGACTCAGTCTGAAAATCGAGTATTTAGGAACTTGAGCTTCACTTGATGTATTTAATTCTTTACATATAAATAAAAATTTTCCATAAATTTCCAAAAGATAAATCGTGATTTCATTAAATTCTTGTATTATGGCCACTTTGAATAATTATAGTAATTTTGTATCATCATATTTTCAATTCATTATAACGGATTTCATTTCAGTCATTAG